CGCCCCTCGGGCCTCCCGGCGCGGGGGAGCCGGCCGGGGCGGGGAGCTGCCCCGCGCAGGGCGGTAGCCGCGTTGCGGGGACGGAGGCGCGATGCGCGCGGTGGCAGCAGGTGCTCGGCCGCCCTCCTCGGGCGCCTCCGCAGCTTTGGCGAGTTCCAGACTGGAACTGCCCTGGAACTTTGGCACCGTCTGCTGGGGCACTCGGAAAGCTGCCACGTCCCTGCCCTTTTCAGTAGTGTTTTGAAGTCTTTGAACCGGCTTTAACCCGGTGGACTGCACGTGTATATATTTTTCTCTACTGTTACACAACCGTTTCCTGTATCCACACTGATCTTGGAGTCTGAGCCTCAGTTTGCTTCAAACTGTAAGACTTCTTCCCTCCCATGTGACCCCACCTCTGGTGGATTGGCTTCTTTCTTAGGTTTGACCTGCAAACATGAGACAAAACAAATATCAGATAAAGTAAAAAGCATTTTATGAGCACTGCTAATTCTGTTTAGTCAGTTGTTGCTCTCAGGCCAAGTCTTCTTATATGCCCTTCATAACCCATTTCAAGGGGGAATCACTGGATGGTCTGAGAACCCTCAAAATAGCCAGGTGTCACTTTCATGGATTCAGTGGGCCTTATTGTTAGCTGCTAGTTGTGATTTAACTCCATTTAAATTAATAACTAGATCAGTGTTAAGGAAGAGTCTTGCTAGTGTGTGTAAATACAGTTCAGGTGAAAAGGTGTTGCACTGTTGCTGCCTTTAACATAAGCTCTGTGCCTGTATGTTAGCTTTGCATACTCTGAAAATATGTTTATATATATTTTTTGACAAGTCATATTTTGTACTGTATTTAAAAAACAAAATAAAGCCTCTGATTGAAGTGCATCAGAAAGAGCATTGTTAGGTGTTTCTAATATTTTTTTAATAACTTTTTTTTCCAGTCATCTTGAAGAAAAAACACAGTGGGAGCATCCTAAATCTGGCAAGAGGAAACGTGTTGCAGGAGGTTCGTTAAGTTTCTGTAATGTAGTGAAACTCTTAAAAGCAACAGTCAGAACTTTTGCAGGAACTAGATTTTATATTGATCTCCTTAGTTGACCCTAGGTGCATTGCTAAACCCAGCTGGTGAAGTGTGGCTTGATTTCAGTGCAGCTTTGTGTGCAGTGATCGCTTTTGTGTGACATACTAGCAAGCAAGGTCACATTTTACTGCTTTGTGCTATTACATGAACAAAGAGGAGAGAGAGAAGGAACACAAATTTTTGGAGTATCTTTATAATTAATAGGCTGGTCCTTACGGTTGTCTTGCATATGGTACTTTCAGGACAGTGCAATTGCATGGTGGTTAGGGAAGCAGTCCTTTCAAGCTCCAATGCAGCAGGTAGTACATTACCTGTAGAAATACTATAGACATTTGCCAGCTTTTTTCTGAAAAATCACTTAAACCTCAAATCTGACTGTACTTTAGTGCCTGCAAAAAAAGATACTTTATCTGTGTTTTCTAGGTCTGCCGTATGGATGGGAGCAGGAGACAGATGAAAATGGACAAGTCTATTTTGTGGAGTAAGTATGTGGTAATACAGAATATGGACAAGTAGATGGACTAATTATTTCCCGTGTGTTAGCTTTTTTGAGTTATGATGCTGTGCTAATATCAGCTGTTCTTTTCAAAGAAACAAGCAGAAAATTAGAATTGAAATGTAAGTTTTCTGTAGTCATGTCCAAACACCCACATGTACTTTACTGAATTCTTTGACATGCGCAGAAATGTTAGTTGAGTGGCAGATTAGTGGCTTACAAATCAGCATCTTCAGAATGCCTTCTATCTCCAGGCAATGTTTATGTAGATTCATTTTGTTCAGGTAACTTCACATATAAATACTGTATGTTATCTTTTAACTTCAAAAGTTATCCAGAAATCTGTCATTGACTTTTAACATTGCAATAGAGCTTAGAAGATACAAGATGAAAACAAAATTGCTACAGCACTGACTGATTTGGAATCCAATGCACAGAAAGAAAAGGGAGGACAGATTGAACCAGAGGAGATTTTTAGAAAACTGAGGAAAGAGGGAGCTCACAGAAGCAGAGAGATTTCTGGTAACATTTATTTTCTGTAGTGGAGCACTTTTTCTATATCTTTTCAGTTTAAAAGCCAAACTGGGGTGGTTATCTCAACTGAATTGTAAAAATTGTAAAAGACTATTCCCATGCCAAAATTCTCAAGTATAACCCTCTCTGTCCTGTAAGTAAGGAATGAATACTGAAAGTTGCTGCCAAGTATCTCTTTCTAGAATTTTTCTGAAGAAAGTTAAAATCCCATTATGGGAACATCAATCTTACCCATGCCCCTTGCTTAGTGGATTTGAAGCTATTTGCTTTGCATTTTTAAAAAACAAACAAACAAAAAACTGAACTACATTTCTTACCAGTATCTTGCTTTGAGAGTGGTATACACCCCTTTCATAGAGCTCCTTAGAGACCATGATCTTTCCTAATGAAATGCAAACTTTCCTGTGACAGAATTCTGCCCATAAGAATTTCTGAATGGGGCGGGAAATACTGGCATACAAATCTTAATGTATACTGTCACAATCAGAAAAATGACAAATAAGAAATTCAGATCACTTTGGCAAAGCTGTGGGTGGGGATAAAAAGTAGGGAATGTAAATAATACACTGGAATTATATATAACTGTAGATGAAATAGAACATTTAAAGTCTAAAGAGTACAGAGGATCACAATATTTTTTTCTTCTGCAGCCACATAAACAAAAGAACTACTTATCTTGATCCAAGATTGGCCTTTACAGTTGAAGATAATCCAGTAAAACCTCCTACTAGACAAAAATATGATGGCAATAGTACTGCAATGGAAATACTGCAGGGACGTGACTTGAGTGGAAAAGTGGCTATAATCACTGGAGCAAATTCAGGAATAGGTAAGTAAACATTGTACATAAGGTAATATATTGTGATATTTTATCTTAAAGGCAACTCTGAAAAACTTCGGAAAATGTTTTTTCAGGTTTGTGTAGTATTATTTTTAAAGTGTGGAGAAAGTAGAGTCTGGAGGAGAGCCATTGAAATAACATCAAGTTTTGAAATGAGGTTCTTTCTAGGAAATACAGATAGAAGCATTTTGCAGTATATAAATATATATTTTAAAAAGCCTCCTGAGCAGGGGAATGTAGTAATGTCTTTAACACTTGGTGGTCAGGACAGGGAAGGAAGCTTGTATTGCAAGAGTATTGAGATAAAGTGTTTAGAAAAACTTTCTAATGACAAGAGGTAAACATAGGAAAAGATCTTATAAGCAGGTTACAGGATCCTCATCTGAGAGTATTTGCAATCGATGATGAACTTGACAGAATTGCATGATCGATGCTACTTTGGAGCCAAAAATAGTGTTGATATCCTCTTGAAATCCCTTTTAATTGCATTTTCTAGGATAGTTTCAAGCTTTCATTTACATCTTTTTAGACACCTAGTCAATATTTGTTTCATAATATTATTACTTAACTGGTGAGTAAATGAGTGATTCTTATTAGCTGCTTTTGTTTCATTTTTATATAGTGCTTAGGGGCTTTGCTGCTTTTCTCAGAAGGCAGGGGTATTTTTTCTGCAGTATAATTTACTAGGCTGTTCAAATTTTCTCTCTGCAAACTGCACAGGGATAGCTGTTTGCTAGTTCTATGGCCTAAATCCACAAAGGAGAATTAAAATACAGGTGTGATTTGGTGTCAGATTTGAGGTTTTCTGACAAATCATGAGATCTACCTAGATGATAAATAATTGTTAATCCTTGTTCCATTTATTGTTCATAGTTTTACCTTGTGGAGGAACATCATTCTCTCTGTTATAATCCTTATGCAGATTATGATTTGGTGTGCAAGAGCAGGATTTTGATTTAACTGTGTCTGTAAGGATGTTGAAAGAGCCAGAAGATTATATATACAGTGGGTTAATAGCAGTTATCACTGAGTTATCTTGGTCTTTGCCCCTTAATTATTTGAAGAGAAGTGTAATCTGACTCCCATTAGATTTAAAAAAAAGAAATAAATAAAAAAGGTGGAACTTTGTTGTAGCTTACCATTTTGCTCCTTATCAGCACATGGGCTGCAAATATTACTTGTTACTGTACTTTGGTATTGCACTTAGCAGAGCAAGTGTACTTATCTACCTCAATGAGGAATTAGCTTTTGTTTCTCGGTAAGGTTTACGTTTGGGATTTACGATAGCATGTCTTTAGATTGCACCCAGCAGCTCTGTATGCATCTGTTCAGTCTCAGAACAGTAAAGAATTGCCTGGACTCAAGTATGATTTTTCTTCATCAAGACCTACTATTCAGACTTGGAGAATGAAAATGTTTTGTATACAATGCAAGAGTAATCGAAGATATATGATGCTTTTGTTGAAGTTTCCTTTTTTCTTCTTTTTCTTTTTTCTGAAATCTAAACTTTCTCTTAGACTTCTGAGAAAGGAGACAGTTTGAGGAAAAACTTGTACTAATCTGACTTCTGGTAGACCTGTTTGGAGGAAAAACCGTGTTCAAATGCACTGGTGTTGTGTGGAAAAAAGCACTCCTCGTTTGGACTTGTCTAATAGTGTTCTTGTGTAATTAATCTGGACATACTTGGCAGAATTTCAAGTTTTGTTGAAACCGGGTTGTCAGAGTCGTTATATTGGCTTGTTCCAACTATTCTGACTGGCTGTTAGTGTCTTAGCTTAACTCTGAACTATGCTTTATGACTCTTGACTAAATGCCGTGATCATGTCTGTGCCATGTAATGGATCACAGTTGTGATACCTATGAGATTTTTGTCTACACAACTTTTTGGTTCTCCATGTGCAAATACTGATTAGCTAGCTTAAGCAGAGCACTTCCAGTTTTGGAGCTTATTGCCACTTAGCTTGGAAATTTTGTTGTGCTGCATTTTGTATTGTAGATGGTCCTTTGAAACTCTGTGTGTGTGTGTGTGTGTGTGTTGAGACTATTCTGCTCCTGCAATGTTTTGAGGAGGAAGCAATTACTGTGTTTACAGAACCCTGACTTTCTCTATGTTCCTCATGAGTGTGAATTCAGTTCATAACTCTATTACTTTATGCTAATATGAAGTGATGAAGAATTCTGTCTTTTGCAGAGAACTGGATATGCAAACAAAGTTGTACTTTCTGTAATTCTCTGCCTGTTATTTTCCTTACAGTTAGGTCCTTTTTAATATTCAGCTTCTGATACATAGCTAGCCAAGTTTCTCTCTTTGATTCAATTTATTTCTATTCACATAGGAATATAGTAAGAATTCCATATAGTAAGAATTTCCTAGATCGTTTATCCACTTATTCCTTAGAATTGTTGCAAAGAGTGTGTGTGTGTGTATATATATGTATATAAATAACCATTTGGTACTTTTTGATCACTTTTACAAGCTGATAGTGAAAACTAATAAAGGCCAATGAATTTCTTAGCTCTTCATGTATAAAGTGATCCTGCTTAAGTGAAAAGTTTTCTGGGCAGCAGGCTACATAAAAAGATGCCTTGCTGGTCTGTGCTGTCCTTTTGTATGGACAAATCATGCTTTAGTATTTCCGCTAGAGGGCTGTGTTGCTCTTTGAAAATGTTAAACAAAAGCGGCTTAGTGTTCTTTTTCCCCGTTTTTGGTAACGGCTCCTGAAATTTTGTTGTTTATATATTCTTAAATATTAGTGTTAGGACTCAAATTTAAGAAGCATATCGTCTGTTTCTTTAGGCTCCCTTTTTCTAAAAGGTGATGTACTTTTTTCAACTGCACTTTTATGCAGTCTTCTCAAATCTGATATTTTTTTTGAGTGTTACTTTTTAATACGAAGGAGACAGTAGTGTAACTAATGTGATTTTTCTATAAGTTAAATATTGCTGTATCTTCTTTCAGGCTCGCATAACTACTTGACCTTGAAATTGTATGTCCATGAGCTTTATTTTCTGTGCAGTCTGCAGTTATATGTAAGGTATTGTGGCTGTTAGAGTATGCATGAGTACTAAAATACAACTAGTATTGCAATATGCTATGAAAGAACAAAATATGTATGTTCTGTGCAGTCAGGCAGATTCCACAAAGTATTAAGAAGTATTTTCTTAATGCATTTCCAAGATTTTTTTTTATCACAATGCTGTATTAATCACAAACTATTGCTCAAAGTGCAAGTCTGTTGCTTTTTGCTACATGAAGGTCAAAATAAATCTCTTCATTGCTTTTGTAAGCGATGTTTAGATCAAACAGACTATTTTAAGAAAATGGAAAACATTTGGCTTTGAGCAGCCTAATTTGTTAAAAGATTGAAGAAAATCCAGAAATGTTAACCATAATGAGAATTGCTTTACTACTTTTCTTGATTATGCTTTACAGGAGTTATTGCAGCTTTCTCATGGGGATATTTTTAGGTCGTGTCTTCAAAATTTTTGTCTGTTTTGGTTAATTTGAGTTCTATTTTTATCTGGTATTTTTATTACTGTGTAATGTAGGAGGCCTTAATGAGGAGTAAAGTTGTATAGTAGGTATTAATCAGTACTTAAAAGACAGGAGCCACAGTTCCAGTGATCTCTAACTCTGCATATATTTCAAGTGTGAGAAATTACTATGCCTTTTATTTCTTGCACAGAGCTCCAGTATACAAAATGCTGTTGTACTGATGCTAAAGGTTGGAAAATGTGCTTAAAATTTATCAGAATTAAACATCTGTTTTACAGCTTAACAAGCTGTTTTGGATAACTGGTCCTCTAATTCATAAACGATAAACACATGAGTTTCCCTGCTTTATACCTCTCCCATAGCATGAATCTGTTGGTAGATTGTGTTCAGGTGTGGAAAGCTGGCTTAGCTTAGTTAATTATAAAAACAGTTATTGCAAAACTGCAAGTCAGATCGTAGCATAGCACTTAAATTCATAAAATCTAAAAAATCTGATGAGGTAACGGTTAGTAGGTGGTTAGCAAATTCCAGACAAAGGTGCCATCCTTTACTCAAACTTGCCTTTACAAACAAAGGAAGTACAAATTGACCTAGTCCTCACCACTAAAACACTGTTAGCATCTGTTTTCTTTTGTCCTTTCTTTTATGTTGACTTATTGTACACTTGCTGCTGACTTACATAACCTTAAACAAATGCAGCTAGTACTTAAGGACCAGGTATATGAAATTGGGGAAGTAGATTCAGTTAGAGGTTTATCAAACTGAGTTGTAATGGTCTGTATTCCCACTATCAGATGATTAGTTGATTGCACCGAGGGCTTGCGTGTGTGTGTGTATACACACAAGTGAACATTGTGGAGCTGCAGAAGGCAGCATTTTGACAATGGGTAACTTGATAATTTACTCAGTATTATTCATCACAGTAACATGTAGATGATTAGATTTTGTTCACACATGGTGGTGCTTTTGTGATAAATACCAACTGTGTAGCTCTGCAATTTATCATGTGCCTTTCACTGCATCACCTGCATCTAATTCAGAAATCTTCCTCATCTGGGACATTATTTGAACACTTCCCATCTGTGAGCAATATAGAAGGGCTACCTCTCAATTCATTCTGCCTTGGATAATGCTAGAAGTCTTTGTCTTTTTCTGGAAAAATGGGTGTAAGGTTTTGGCAGTCTGGAATGTAGCAATGTAATTCCTGACCAATAACATCTATTACCTGATACCATCAGTGTGTGAATAGAATTTTTAAAGCATTGAAAAGCCATGAATCTTGTTCCAGGAAGTACCCAGTAGCTATATTAATTCAAGAAGGTCCTAAGAAGCATGTATTTTTTTTCTGTTATAATTCTATTCTACAAAAAAGTTTCTTTCAGTAGCTGTTAAACCTTGTTTGGTCTATCAAACTATATCAAGTAGCTGTGGTGGTAAAGGCTGTAATTAAATGATACAGTGCACATAGATTACCGTTTGATTTTTTTGCTTT